GTCTAGTTGTTTTTCTGTGTCTGGGTCTTGAGGTGTCGGAACTCGCTTGGTCACCACACGAGAAGATTGCTGTTCCGAGCTATGTAGTGAACAAACAAAAGCTGAGTGTGGTGGCGGGTGCTCCTGTTTATCAACTTCTTCTTTTTTTCTTTTTATATTTACTTGATGGAGGAGCTGTAAGAGGAGGAGATGATGGAGGAGTAGTAGTAGGACTAGTTGTAGATCATGAGGAATAGGATCAGGAGGAATTGGAGCAATCGGAGCTGGTGGAAGAGGAGGAGGAGCAGGAGGAGGAGGAGTTGGAGGAGGATCAGGAGGAAGAGGAGCAGGAGGAAGAAGAGGAGCAAGAGCAGGAGGAAGAGGAGCAGGAGGAAGAAGAGGAGCAAGAGCAGGAGGAAGAGGAGCAGGAGGAAGTGGAGCAGGAGGAGCAGGAAGAGCAGGAGCAGGAGGAAGAGGAGGAGGAGGAAGAGGAGCAGGAGGAGGAGGAGGAGGAGGAGGAAGAGGAGCAGGAGGAGGATCCCTGCCTCTCCGATAATGAAACCTGCTGATCGTCTCCTCACAGAAGTTCTGCTTTCACACAAAGTGACGCAACATTATTTATGATCGTTTGCGTTTTTTTCGTTCAGGTCGTCTGTCAGAGTTTATATTAATACATAAGAGAGTTTATATTAATACATAAGAGAGTTTATATTAATACATAAGAGAGTTTATATTAATACATAAGAGAGTTTATATTAATACATAAGAGAGTTTATATTAATACATAAGAGAGTTTATATTAATACATAAGAGAGTTTATAGTATGTTTGTGTTGTAGAAACTGTTTTAAGCTTTAGTGAGTCGTCTCCTTTGATGACTCGCTTCCCTTTTCACTCTTCTGTGGAAGTTTGCTGCTTTCCTTTTAAATACTAAAATATAAATGATTCATGAATACGGAGAATAAGCAGGTTTCATAATGATTTTGTGTTTATTTATGACGCAGTCATTTTCAGAACTGCTTTCATCCATTTTATAATATATTTTTATACGAACACAATACAAACACTCACTGGATGCAGCACTAAATGGGAAGTATGATTTGCATGAATAATTTAAATAGATATGAATCATTTTAAGTGTGAATCCTTCACCTCACGGCTCCGACATTGAACATTTGTTTGCTTGTTTTTAACATTTAGTCTGCACGTGTGATTCTACTTCTAAAGGAACATGTTCAGGAGTTTACGACCCTGAAGATTTCTGCTGCTTTTCAGTTTACAGATGAAGTTTATTTATTTCACAATTATGAATCAACACATTTCTGTGATTAAACAGTTTGTGTCTGACTGCTACGTTACATTACAGGTCATTTAGCAGACGCTTTTATCCAAAGCGACTTACATCACACTTTAAACCCATGGCTTTTTTTCACATTTTGCCTGGGGAGCAATTAGGGGTCAGGTGTCTTGCTCAGGGACACTTCGACATGGAACATGGGGCAGCCTGGACTCTAACCACCAACCTTGTGCTTCCCAGCACACCTTCTCTAACCCCTGCGCCACGACGACCCCCGTTCTTCTTCCTGCTGAGCTCAGTAACCAAGAGAAGAGTGGACTCACCTTCTGGACCTTCTGGGCATCTAGATGTGGAGTCTCCCTCAGACAGCAGTTCTGTGAAGAGTGCACTTCTACTTCCTGTTTCTGTCCTCACCCTCCCTCTCTGTTTCTGTCCCTCCCTCTTGTCTCCTGTCCCTTTTTCCTCTGTTGTCTCCTCTCTTCCCTTATCTCCTATGTCCTCGCCCTCTTTCTCGATGATGAGTTGATCAGGATACATTTTATATATATATATATATATACACATATACAACCCGCAGTGCTCTGGAGGACAAAGGGAGGAAGGAGGTAGCAGGAAGGAAGATTGAGGCGCATCAGAGAACATCTGCTCAGCCGCAGAGAGGAGCGCTGATCTTTCTTTAGATTAAAGCCTTTGAAGATATAAATATGGAATATTACGCGGTTATTTTGGTCACAATGATCTGACACTTTAATCTTTTCTAACACTGAAAAATGTGTTTAAAAACAGTTTTTTATCTTATGTTTGAATCTTTTATTGTTATGAACCAACAAACAACAATTTCGTTTGTAAAAATGTACCTGGTTGTTACAATATGTTTTCACATATTTATGTAGGTGTATTTATTTATACATTTAATACATGTGAAACAAGTAAATAAATACATATTTTTTAAAAGAAGCATATCATTAAATGAATTGAAAGGTTAATCAAAGAATATATAAAATATCCATTTATGCATTTTTAATTCAATGAGGCTTTTTGTAGGCACATATGAAATAGATTTCAAATTTTGCATTCTTTAATTTGTTTTCTTGGCAGAAATGGGCTTCCATAATAAAGAGATATGAGTTTTCAGAAGTAAAAAGCTATTAAACGTATAGTCCTGTTCCAGACTCCGGTCCGTAGTTTACCGTTTTCCGGCTGATCCGGAATCCACCGCGCGTTTTACCTCTTCCGCCTCCCTGCGTGACCGGAAGTTGAGATGAAAACAAGAACGGAACCTGACTTCATCCTCTAAAATGGATTAAAATATAAGTATTGTTATTGTTTTAAGGAGCAGCTAAACCGTCCGATGATGCCCTACAGCGCGAGGAGCGGCGAGATCATCCACCTGAACGTCGGGGGCAAGAGGTGAGGAGCCGGAGAAAGTTTCGGTTTGAGCTAATCCTCGGCGAGCTAATGCTAAGTTAGTGCTAACGCTGCTGATGAAGCGGGTTAACGAGGTTTAAACGAGTTTATATACATGAGAAATAGAGAACAGTAAAGCCTAATATAAAGAGGCGCAAGTTACTTGGATTTTGAATTAAACAAAGCATAAGTAACTCAATATGAACGCTGATGTAAAGTCGTCCTTTCTTCGTGCTACAAGTCATTTATAATGATTATATTACATTACATTTGGTGTTGTCAGTCATGTGTCAGTATTTATCAGAAATATTCGCTGCAACTTCTTGAAGGTCAATTCGAACCATCTTCACCGAAATATAGATACATCCACTTACATGACACCGAACTGATGACACGAACATAATAACTGAAGAAGAAGCGCTTGTTTGTTGACAGGTTCAGCACCTCCCGGCAGACCCTCACCTGGGTTCCTGACTCCTTCTTCTCCAGGTGAGTGTGAGAGAAAACCATCGTTGCTAATGAGACGCTCTCTTTCCGATCCTGAGCAGTTTTACGTTGCCATGACGACTGAAAACCACAGTTAAACATCACTTCAGGCTTAGATGTTAACTTGTGTATCCTTGTGAGTGTTATTTCATTAATAAAAAACTAGACTGCGGTTCTCGTTCCAAAAGCTGGCGTCTTTGCGGTTTGTTACGCGTCTGGAGTTTTGTTCTTTAAGGAGCGAGCGTCCAGGAGCAGGATGTGCTTCTCCACGCAGTCCGGTCCACTCGCTGAAATGTGCTCCTCTGTTTCAGTCTTCTGAGCGGCCGGATCTCCACTCTGAAGGATGAAACCGGTGCTGTGAGTTTATGGATTCATCTACCAGTGTGTGTGTGTGTGTGTGTGTGTGTGTGTGTGTGTGCGTGCGTGCGTGCATGGGCGGGCTAACACCCATCTGTTTGTGCAGATCTTCATCGACAGAGACCCCTCCCTGTTTGCCACCATCCTCAACTTCCTGCGGACCAAAGAGTTGTACCCCCGAACCATCAGCGTCCACATGCTGATGCACGAGGCCGAGTTCTATGGCATCACGCCGCTGGGTGAGAGTCAGAGCGTGTGGAGGCAGGACGTACCGCGCTGCTGCGTGGCAGTAAAGGCACCACGGGGTTTTTTCCAGTTGATGTGAAAAGGAACCAGGCTGTTACTCAGATATTAAATGATGATATGAGGTGTATTTAAATGTGGTCCCCTCACACCTGCTGCTCTGGCGTCTGATGCACAGTGTTTATTAACAGTGCGCAAGCTGCAGCTGTGTGACGAGCTGGACCGCTCGTCCTGTGGAAACGTGCTGTTCAACGGCTACCTGCCTCCACCAGGTACACCACCCTTTATTTATGATGCACACAAGTAGGGTGGGGGACAGATAAAAACCCTTTATACTCTTTGCTTATTCGTATTGTATTTGTATTTAACGTTCTTAAATATTTTTTTTATATCTGTCAGGTGACAAAAAAATATTTTTGTGTTTTGATTTACTCAAAAAAATGCAGGGAAACCCGATCTGTTGTTCCTGATCTCTGACTTAAAAAAATATATTTTTGTGATTTATCTATTAATATTTCTATTTAAATCATTTATCTGTAATTTGTCTTTAAATAATAATGATTTTTTATTTTAGGTTGATATGCCAGTTCCATGTCGGGTTTAATTGCTCCTAATTCATATGATTAGTAATCGTTAGTAATCGATGTGACGTAAGTGTCCACTTCTTGTCTCAGTCTACCCGGCGAAGCGGCGTAACCGGCACAGCGTGGCGGGGTCACAGTTCATGGCGGGCCGGGTTGGGCCCGTGGAGAGAGCGCCGGTCAGACGCAGCAACACGATGCCCCCGAACCTCGGCAACGCCGGGATACTCGGAAGAGCCAGCACGGAGGAGAGGACACCCGGAGGTAGAGGCGCACACAGGGAGACACACAAAGAGACACACAAACAGTCACAGTGGTTTGTTCATGTGTGTGTGTGTGTGTGTGTGTGTGTGTGTAGGTCAGCTCTCTGTCACCTGGCATCGTCCGGATCATATTTGGTCATCACAAAGTGGATCGCTGTGGCCTACGCACAGTTTGTCGTCTGCTACAGGTACAAAACACAATCGATCATCTCCAATGGTCAAGTTTCAGTGTTTGGATGCTTGAGAAAAATAAGATGTCAGAAACTAACTTTTAAGTGCAAGGAAGCATCAGATCAGAATAACCCCCCCACACACACACACACACACACACACACACACACACACACACACACACTCTCTCAGGGTGAAGGAGTCCACCGGCTGGCAGCAGGTCTTCACTTCGCCTCGCCTCGACTGGGTCATCGACCGCGTGGCCCTGAACGCCAAAGTGATGGCCGGCTCCTTGGGAGACAACGACAAGATGGTGGCGGTTGCCGCGGGGACGGAGATCATCCTCTGGGCCATCTGCCCCGACGGCAACGGCAACGAAATCGGTGAGCATCCGGAAAGCGCTGAGGTGGAGATTCAGACGAAATGAAATAATCTGAGGAGAGAGATGCTGGTCTGAAGATAAAAGATCTCTTAAACTCCTCGGGTGGTTCTTTCGGGTCCTTCCCTTTATTCTTTCCGGTGAGGGCAGGAGGGTCAGGGGGGGCGGGGCGGACTATCTCCAGGTAAACCTACCGAGCTGTTTTGATCCCCCATTGACCAGTAAACGTTTCTGGCAGAGGAACTGAACGAGTGGATGACGTGGTCACTGGCTCGGTCGGCACGCACCTCAGCTGGGATTCTACAGCTGTATGAACCCAAAATCTAGAGATTTAATCACAATAAAGGAGGACACGAGTGATGTTTTGTTTGTTTCCTCGTCAAGACGAGACAGAAATCACCTTTTAAATCACTTGTTTTCTCAATGGAGTCTGGATCAGTGTCCCCACGCCGATTAGCTGCTGGTTCTCGTCCCAACATGTCACATTTAAAATGTCCAACGTATTAGTCACATAAAGAAGAAGAACCATGTGTCCTCCCGCAGGAGTCTTTAGCCTGAATGTGCCGGTGGAGGGGCTCTTCTTCGTTGGTAACCAGCTGATTGCCACCAGCCACACGGGGAAGGTCGGGGTTTGGAACGCCGTCACCAAACACTGGCAGGTGGGTGCAGGTGCTCTCGGCTTCGTCCGGGAGTTCAAGTACTTTAAGTGACCTTCTCTGTGGTCTTCTTCTGTGGTGTGCAGAACCAGGACGTGGTTCCCATCAGCAGCTACGACACCGCCGGCTCCTTCCTCATCCTGGGCTGCAACAACGGTTCCATCTACTACATCGGTGAGTCCCAGCTGGGGTCTGAGTATGAGCGAACCAGCCACCCGAGCATCAGATAGAACCACCGTGTGGACCGCAACAGTAACGTGATCGATAATAAGCAGCAGGACGCACGACCGAGAACCAGACAGAACCGTGGAAACAGGCCAGATGAGGAAGCACAAAAGCTCTGAAGAAGAAGCTGAATTATTGATTTGAATAATGAGAGCGTGAGAGAGGAGCTCGGTGTGTCCTAAGAATTCCCCCGGCAGTCTAAGCCTGTAGCAGCTTAACTAAGGGCCGGTCCGGACTAACCTGAGCCAGCCCTAACTATAGGCACAATCAAAGAGGAACGTTTACTTTAAAAGAGCTGACCGAATCTGCCCCCCGGACTGAAAGTGGAACCTGGTTCCACTAAAGAGGAGCTTGATGACTGAAGGCTCTGGCCCCCAGACTACTTTTTAAACCACAGGAACAACAAGTAACCAGCATCTATGGAGCGCTGCTGCCTTGTAGGACAATAAGGTGTTACAAGCTCTGTAAGATACGACGGGGCCTTGTAGGTCGCAGTGTTTTCTGATAATCGCCTAAAGGGGGCGTGTACTGTGTAAGGAGCCAATCAGAAGCCAATGAAGACGTGCCTGAGCTGTTTATTTGTTGGTCAGATGTGCAGAAGTTTCCTCTGCGGATGAAGGACAACGACCTGCTGGTGACGGAGTTGTACCGGGACCCGACCGAAGACGCCATCACCGCTCTCAGCGTCTACCTCACTCCCAAAACCAGTAAGGGGCTGGGATACCGTTCAACATACTGCTTTGAAATACTACCCCTGTTATTCTACTGCGAGTTCTTCGTTTGGTAAATGTTGTGGTCCTGTGATCAGGTGACAGTGGGAACTGGATCGAGATTGCGTATGGGACCAGCTCCGGGTCGGTCCGAGTCATCGTCCAGCACCCAGAGACGGTCGGCTCGGGGCCGCAGCTCTTCCAGACCTTCTCGGTCCACCGGAGCCCCGTCACCAAGATCATGCTGTCCGAGAAGCACCTCATCTCAGGTACTGGCCCCGGGTACCGGGTCTTGGGTATGTGTGCTGTGAGAACCTGGCCTCCTCTTCACTCCGTCCCTCCTCTTCCTCCGCCCTCCTCTGTCAGTTTGTGCCGACAACAACCACGTGCGGACGTGGACGGTGACCCGGTTCCGAGGGATGATCTCCACCCAGCCGGGCTCCACGCCGCTCACCTCCTTCAAGATCCTCAGCCTGGAGGATGTGGACGGACACGGCGGCTGCAGCGCCGGCACAGAGATCGGTAGGAAGGGTGGGATCAAAGGTCAAAGTTATTTTACTGCTCTCCTATGTAACGGTGCCGTGCCGCTAAACATGTGACGGTGAGGATGAGGCCAAAGGTCATCGGGAGGGCTGATGAGTGGCTGGTGTGTTCAGGTCCGTACGGAGAGAGAGACGACCAGCAGGTGTTCATCCAGAGAGTCGTACCGGACACGGAGAAACTCTACGTGAGGCTGTCCTCCAACGGGAAGAGGTGAGCGAGGGACAAATGAAAGAACAGCCTCACGACATCGGGAACTGAACCGCGCGTGTCCGTCCGTCAGGGTGTGCGAGGTGCGTTCGGTGGACAGCACCTCCATCACGGCCTTCATGGTCCACGAGTGCGAGGGCTCGAGCCGCATCGGCTCTCGGCCACGGCGCTACCTCTTCAGTGGCCATGGCAACGGCAGCATCCAGATGTGGGACCTGACCACCGCCATGGAGATAGCCGGGAAGGTTGACATCAGAGGTCAGAGTCTCCGTCTATCTGTCTCGCTCTCTGGCTGTCTGTCTCTCTCTGTCTGTCTGTCTCTCTCTCTCTCGTGAATGCTTGACATCTGGAGCCCTGTGATTGGTTGGTTGGTTTCGCAGCGCTGGGCGGGCCGACGGAGGAGGAGCTTCTGGAGCTGTTGGACCAGTGCGACTTGGCTTTGACTAGAACCCCTGACAGCACGCCGAGAGCCTCCACCTGCAGGTAACCTCCTGCCCAAGCCCCGCCCATGCTTCTGTTGTTGTTGTTGGTGTTGATGAGTCATGTGACTTCCTGTCACCTCCAGTCTCCACTCTCAGCTCACTGACGTCTTCCGGATGGACCGTCTCCACTCGGCGGCCGGGCCGCGAGGAGGAGGAGGAGCGTCTGGTTCCACCGCCTCTTTGTGCGGCAGCCTCCCCCGGCAGGCTCCGCCCCCGCCGCCCCTCACCAAGCCCGTACGGGATCCCAACATCTGCGGGCTGCAGACCCTCAATATCCCTGCCTACACCCAGAGCCCCGCCCCCGGCCACAGCCACACCGGCAGCCCCCGACCCCCCAGACACCAGGACCGGGACCGGGACTGGGGGTCCGTGCGCAGGGGGAGCTTCGTGGAGCGCTGCCAGGAGCTCGCCAAGGGTTCGGAGGTGGCGGCGGGCTCTGGGTTTGGGGTCCCGTCGGGGTTGGAGGGCGTGAGGCGGAGCTTGGCAGTGTGCACCGAGTTAGAGGCCAGGTTTGGCCTCAGGACCCCCACCACCTTCTCCGTGTCGCCTGGCGCCCGCCACTCCGCGGGAGCTCCGTCCCCCGTCTCGTCTGCGTCATCCCCGCTGACCTCGTCTCTTTCAAAACGCAAGACCACGCCCACTCCCCCAACCAGCGCCGCACCCGCTGCCGTGAGCCCCTCTCACTCCAGTGCGCCCGCCGTTCCCGCCGACGCCCCGCCTTCCCCTGAGGGCCTTGCAAGTCCGGAGAGCCCCGCCCCCGGACCGCCCACCAGCCCCAAAACACACATGAACGAGACCAGCTTCTGATCGGTCCTTCAGACAGATCAATAATCAATGAGTCAAAGGACCGGATGCTATCAGCTGTAGCCCGCTAAGCTAATGCTAGCGCTGTAACTGGGTGTTGATTCATTTTTCACTGGAAGGTTTAAGTACTTCAGAACATGTTCTATTTATACTTCAATGTTTGGTTTTCAAATATGTTCATAAAAAGAATTTGAGGACGAGGAAATAATAACGAGGGATTTGGTCATATAAATTATTATTTTTTATGTTAATAAATGATGTAATACTACAGACTAACCAACCAGTATATGGAGGTATTAACATGAATTGAGGAACAGTTTAATATAATAATATATTGTTCTGCTACTCTGTGGTAGTACTTTACTGAAGTAAAATGTGTGAGTACTTCCTCTACAGCGTCGAGCTGCAGCTGATAATTAATAAATCCTTTGTTTTCTGATCTTCTAAACTTTAATGAGCGGCAATAACTAATGAATCTATCACAGAAGTGTTAATTATTCATTTTCAAGTAGACTAAACCGGAGCAAACAATGTTTTTTTTACTTTTTATAATCTTTTGTCTTCAGTCTGAAATCTTTTATATATAAAAAAAAGTTTGTTTGTATCAAAGTTTTTATTTTTAAAGTTTGTGTGAAGTTTGTTCCCACAGCAACGCAGCTTTCCTTCATTTTACAGGAGCCATAGTTTTATGATCCTCTTCTGGAAAGATTTTAGTTTTATTATATTTTTCACATTTTAGTACTTTTTTTCAGTTTGTTGACTAGGAAATATTCATCAAATGAATGAACTAATACACAATGTATTATTTATTAACTTACCAGCAGAATATAGTCATTAAAGTGATGAAAACAACGTACAGTATTTAGTCATATTACTCTGCTCAGTGAGTGATAATACTTTTGATTTGGCTGTTGAATGCAGGACTTCCTCTTGTAGCATTTGTACTGTGATGTTAGTTAAACATCAGGGTCATAATATTAAATAATTATACATTTTAAGATCCAGTAAGTCTTTTGCAGACGCTTAAATGAATGAATTCCGTTCATTTAGATAATTTCACATCTAATGAACATTGAACTGTGCCTTAATAGATTATTATAGTCTCTGGTTTTCTATATTTGATGAAGAAACAAGTATTAAAAACCAAAACAAAATCTGAGTGAATCTGAAAATCTAAAAAAAGAAAATCGATGAGAATAAAGTGTTGACTTCGTGAAGGAGACACGAAACAGTGCTGATTGTTTTTTCTAGTCCTACTGGATGAACTGGTCCCACTGGTTTCCATCCTCTGGTGGTCTCACTTATCACTCACTTATCTACTAAGTCTGTGTTTTATGTTGATGTTTGGATGCCTTCTCTTCCATCAGCCTTGATCAACTGACTGCTACAATTTCGGAGTCTAAATCTTCTAATTGCATCTTGGATCCGATTCCGTCTAAGCTGCTTAAGGACGTTTTTCCTTTAGTGAGCACGTCTTCATTAGATATTATGAATCTTTCTTTGTTGACAGGACGTGTACCACAGTCCTTCAAGGTAGCTGGTGAAAACTACGAATGATCTTCTACTTGCATCGGACCAAGGACTCATCTCTGTTCTTGTCTTGCTGGACCTCAGTGCTGCATTTGACACCATTGATCATTGTATTCTGTTGCAGAGACTAGAACATTTAATTGGTATTAAAGGAACTGCACTCAGCTGGTTTAAATCATATTTATTGGATCGATCACAGTTTGTGCTTGAAAACAGTGAATCCTTAAATACCATCAATGTTGGTCACGGAGTCCCACAAGGTTCTGTACTTGGACCGATTTTATTTACCCTCTATATCTGATGGTGGTTCTATCTGATGGTGGTTCTATGTGATGGTGGTTCTATCTGATGGTGGTTCTATCTGATGGTGGTTCTATCTGATGGTGGTTCTATTTGATGGTGGTTCTATGTGATGGTGGTTCTATCTGATGGTGGTTCTGTCTGATGGTGCTTCTATCTGATGGTGGTTGACCTGCTTTACTACTCTACATATTATTTGAATCATTTCTGTTATAGGGACTGAATGTATTGTACATCTTTACATTGTTTATTTAGTACACATGACGTCCATTCAGTCCGTCCATCAGGAGACGGATCCTCCTCGTTCTCCCTAATTTAAACACCCAGAAAATGACCATAACTCAATTTTCCCCCAGGTTTCTGTATTAGGAACTTTGTTTGTTAACTACCTAAATAACACATTCAATTTAAAAAAAGACATAAGCGGCTATGTAGAAATACTCAGATCAACAAAATGTCACTGACTGACATTTAAAAGAGATCATTTCTATAACACCGTCCTTCCAGTGTCAGCAGCACGCAGCTGGTACATTCCTGCCAGAATGAGCAACCCGATGTCGGCTTGCAGGTCGGTCACATCCAAGCCCGTCTCTCTGTACACGCCTGCCCTCTTCTTTTCTCATCTGAAGGATGTCATGGACACGGCTAACTGCCAGAACGAGGGACCCTTTTGATGACACTAAGTCCACCCTGTGGTTGAGGTACACGGACCATAATAACATTTTTGGAAGGCAGAGCGTTTGCTGCTGGTTGAGAGACGACAGGAGGGTCCACAATGAGGGTCTCATTCTCACCAGAGGATGCCTCATAACCAGGGTCCTCCTCAACATCATCCTCTGCCTCAGACACGTTCTCCTCTGCGTCACTTTCATCTTCAAAGAGCTGTGACGACACCTCATTGACGGAAAACCTTTACAAGTCCTCTTCAGTTGAGAGGGAAAGCACACAGAGCACCAAGATGACGGTTTCAGAAGGCTGCTGTGAAGCTTCTCACAGTCCGGCTCCGCCTTGTGTTACTTCATTGAGTGTTTGATACAATCCTGCAGGTGCAGATTTAGTGTGTGAGCTGTGCTGGGTTCTGAACCTCTGATCAAGGGTCACTACTGTCACTCCCGCCCCTTCTGGGACGAGAAGTCAACTGGCTGGAGCTCAAAAACTGGAGCTGTTGTCGTATGTGATTGGCTGCACATTCCGGCCCAGCTCCTCCCTCATGAATTCCTTTCTGCTCCAAGGCGTCACATGACTCCCTCCTGGCTCCATGTGAGATCCCTCACTGACCTGATCGATCCCTGATCACTTAATACTGCAGTACAGTCAATGATCACAGCTTTGGCTTAAAGCTTCATCGTGTAAACGTGACATAGCATGCACAATAACATAGCATGCACAATAACATAGCATGCACAATAACATAGCATGCACAATGACATAGCATGCACAATGACATAGAATGCACAATAACATAGCATGCACAATGACATAGAATGCACAATAACATAGCATGCACAATAACATAGCATGCACAATAACATAGCATGCACAATAACATAGCATGCACAATGACATAGCATGCACAATGACATAGCATGCACAATAACATAGCATGCACAATGACATAGAATGCACAATAACATAGCATGCACAATGACATAGCATGCACAATGACATAGCATGCACAATAACATAGCATGCACAATAACATCACCTTTCATCACAACTCCCAAAAAAACCTCTTTGGGGATAAAAATGTGAGAAATCCATAAACGGCAACTAGCATCCGTGTTTGTATTCATAAGTGTTTATATGATTTACACGACTATACATTGTGTTTGATTCATATTGCATTCACTTCATCTAACATGCTAATGTAATAACTAATATTTAACATTACACAAACTGTACAATTCTAAGACTAAACATTACTACATGTATTATACTTTCTACCACTAGGGGTCCTCTACTGCTTAAACCCCAACATCTGTGGACGGCCTTGAATCTTTTATACAGATAAAACAACCTGGAGTTTATGTGCACTTTATTTTTAATTTCTAAATATTTTTAACTTGAACTTTTATTCCTTTATTTTTAAACTAGCCCATAGCCTTATATGTTATTTTATTCCTCTTGCACTGTTGTCTTGTTGTCTATTGTCGTACTGTCTGCTGTTACGCACCAACCGCCCAGTCACATTCCTCGTATGTCTGACACATTATGGCAATAAATGTTTCCTTATTCCTGATCCTGAGTTGACCTCGTCATCTCCGAGAAGCGGTGTTAAGCTAATTTAATCAGGTGGTCTCGTGATTTCCTGTTTTATTTTGAAAGTTATCCTTCCTCTCGCTGCAGGCAGCTTCCCCCTGTGTGCCGGTCCGATTGTCTGCCTGTCTCCACCTGTCTCTCCACCTCTCTCCCCACCTGTGTCTCCACCTGTGTGTTCATATTGTCTGCGCCTCCCTTTGCCCTCGTACCAGAGAAAGTTTATTTGTTAGTCTAGCGTTTAGTTTTTAGATTTTCTTTGTTCTCAGATTTAGTTTTTCTTCTGTTGAGAGTAATTTTAATTTGGTTTATTTTTGTAATAAAATTCGATTTTTGAACTTTTTCCTTTTGAGTTGTGCGATTGGGTTCAGGTCCATTGTCTGGTGGTCACAGACCCTAAAGAGCCTCCGATGCGACAGCATGTGTACATATCAACGTGCTCCTTTTAGGTTTACACAGTTCCCCAGTTGAACCCTCCTGTTATGAGGTCAATTTGACATCAAAACAACTTTTATTAAATCTAAATTCCTCAGATGCAAAAAAAACGATAACATTGAACTCAAATCACGAAATGTAAATGTTCCATCAGGAGACGGATCCCTCCTCGTTCTCCCTAAGGTTCCTTTTTTCCCCATGAAGGGTTTTCATTGTTTGGGGAGTTTGTGAGGGTTTCTGGACAGATGATGTCGCATGTCTACAGACTGTGAAGCCCTCTGAGGCAAATTTGTCATTTGCGATATTGGGCTATGCAAAATAAAATGAATTGAATATTTGTTGTGTGGCGTTTATCGTCAAATAGGAAATCTGAATTCAGGTTTAAACAATTGACTCATAAAGAAGCTGAAACCTGAAGCTGAGTTTTTGACTAAAACTTCACTGAAATATATCCATGTCATTCTTATTCCTCGAGGGAAATATTGTACTTTTTACTGATAAATTCAGTTATTTTACAGATTAACATAAACCTCAATATGTTCATATTTATAATTAAGTTTTTTGTAATGGGTGTAGCGGCGTTCCTTCGGTCACAAATAATATTAAGCTGCAATTGAGCTGCAGACACACTGAGTCCATTTTCCTGACGTGAATGACAAAAGATCTTTATATTCTTTTTGATTGGTGTTTATTTCCACAACAAAAGCGTTAACCAAACACCAAAAACACATTCCGTCACACGGTGGACAATCTGTGCTCTAATCGGCCATCTAAGGTGCAGCTGCTGCAAACACGACATCAGTATAAGAAGGAAAATCAAGGGGGCGTCATGCCAACATGTATCCAATATAATGTCCTCAATATAAGAACATCCAATTTAAACAATATACACACTTCGGGCTCTTACAATGGTTTTAAACTACGGTACTTTAAGTATCCAATTATCACCAATAATATTTGTATAATTACTTTTTATTATTAACATTGTTTTTTTAACTCTAAACGACCCGACATCAAAACAACTTTTATTAAATCTAAATTCCTCAGATGCGAAAAAAATGTTAACATTGAACTCAAATCACAAAATGTAAATTTTCCACAATCATGTAAAAGCCTGAAAACGTTTCCGCCCTGCTGGCTTCTGATTGGCTGCTCAGAGGCTCCGCGGCTGTCAGCCAATGGGAGCGGAGGAGCTGCTATTCTCCGCTCCCATTGGCTGACAGCAGAACGAAGGCAGCGATTGGAGTTCACGTTGAATGAAAACTTCAGTCAGACTCGCGAAGTGAAGACCGGGACCCCCCCCGGTCCCTCCCCCCGTCCCCCACCCGTCCCCCGCCCCGCGATGCTCCATCGATCGGTCACATTGACTCTATCTGCTATCGACCAACATGCGCCTTTCTCCGTGGCTCGTGTGGATTTTAACTCTTCACACCGCAGCTCAGCATCTCCCCCCCCGCGAGGAGGGAGGCGTGCGGCCCGCGGCGGGGACGCGCGGCCCCTGCGGCAGACCGGCGGCGGCGCGCAGGACCGGGAGCGCGGCTGTGATCGGGTGAGCGGATCGATAACGTGTTTACGGTGTGAAGCATCACGTAGCCTCTTTGTGTCCTTCAGACCACTATATGAATATTTACCTACTTTAACCAGTGATGTGGTAAATAAACCATAATACATAATGAATGAATTCCTTCATATAAGCGGCTTGTAAGAGAGCGAGGGGGGGTGGGGGTCTGGGGCTCTGGGGCTCTGGGGGCCACGGGTCTCAGACTGCACACTCAGCATCCAGACTGCAAACCCTCTAGAGTCATCAATACAGATCTGTTATGAGAATCATGACATCACATCCTGTCTCTGGGGTGTTTCATTGTCATGTGACCCCTGAGGGCCACGTTCAGGCCTCCCCTTTGTCTGAATGGAGCCTGTTTGTTTTGGACTCAGCCGACGGGGGGCGGCGGCGGCGTTAAGAGGCTCAAGTTGTTACTGGCGGGGATGAAATACTTGTGTGGATTAAGTGGATTTCAGTTAGAGACACAAACGAGTACAAATAAAGACAAACAAATGCAGACACACAAAGAGACTCACAACATCTACTAAAAGAAGCAAAACATCCACCGAGGCGCTGAAAACAACTCCGGTGTCTGTGGGTCTGATCCCATGCAGGACAGGCGGGGGGATACGTGTGTGTGTGTGTGTGTGTACGCATGAAGCATCCCACCACTCAGCATCTGTCAGCTGCGTCAGACTGCAGACACATCAGGAGTGTGTGAAATTGTATGCAAGTGTGTTTGCGTGTGTGTCCACGTCTGTGTGTAACCAGCTTCAAGTGCAAGTCTGCCTGACAGGCAAGTGATGGATGCAAAGTCAACACACACACCCACAACACTGTGAATTTACTGACTGGGTTTATACACTGAGTGTGTGTGTGTGTGTGTGTGTGTGTGTGTGTGTGTGTGTGTGTGTGTGTGTGTGTGTGTGTGTGTGTGTGTGAAAAGAGGAAGATGTGTGAGACACACACAGGTCCTCCTTTTGGTGTCCTTGTGAGGACCAGCTATGCTACTCAGGTGGTGACCATGTGACCTTGTGTAACGCTTCAGGTCGATCCGCAGGTCACAGGTCACCTCTCCGCAGGTCACAGGTCACAGGTCACCTCCTTCGTAAACATTCCTGTCACTTTGAGTCCAAACAGAATCAGTTAAATACATTTTCTCCACCGTTATTCTATTAAAGATGATGACATCACTGATGTTTGTCTAGTCTCTGATCATGTGACATTGTAAACAACCAATCAGTGTTTAGATCAATCTAGTAACATAAGAAGTACTGGTCATTATCAATGAAATCATTTGTTATCGTTTGAAACATCAAGAGAGAAGAAGACCCCTTTTGTATGAACGTCACATGTATTTGTTGGGGTCCTCTGTCCTCGTGTCCAATGAGTGTGAGTGAGGACGTGGTCGCGTGTCTCTGACCCGATCAATGACTTTCATTGATCAGCTTGGAACTGTCGTCAAACAAACCTATAGAGACTTTACACGCAGCTGTGATGTCCTTCCCCTGATGGCAGGGGGAGGGGCTTATTTCCACCCAGCGTTGGTCTGATAATTGACTCCTTTTCCCACAAGGCCGATGGGCACACGGCGATAAGTCACCCGTCATTAATCATAAATATGAAATAACGCATCTTCTGGCTTCTAGGTGACCAAAGTGGCTCCGCCCCTTTGTGACACGAGACCAAGTTTTTAAATATTACGATTTTCGATGCCGTGTTATAAGGAAAAAGAAAAATACTAAGTATTCATTTCAATTTTTAATAATATACTGAAGAAGAAAAGGCCTCAGTCTGAACAGATTATATTATCTATTCATGAATTATATGAAATATGATGCTTTCTGTGACTATGACTCCTTAATAATGACTAATAATGCATCTCTGTCCTGCAGGCCTCTTGCGTGTGGAAGTCGGTGTTGCGTCGGATGGACTTTCTCACCTGGAACCCGGCGGTGCACCAAACGTGAGTACAGACCGCCGGCGCCATGGTGTCCCGCTGTCAATCAAACCTCAGGCCCACTAGTCGCCTCAGGCTAATAGAACAAGGAAACAAGCCTCACTTGACGATTCATTAAAACATTAAACGGTTATCGCGTTCTACCTGTATCAACCTTAATTATGGCCGGGGAGCAATTAGGGGTCCTTCTCAGGGACACTTCAACATGGGACTCACTCCTCCGCTCTCTTCACTGGTACCGGTGGCTCATCCAGTTCTAAACATGGTGCTCACGTACCATGCTGTGAATGGATCCAGCTTCCATCCAGGACCTGGTCCAACCCGACATCCCGACCTCTGACCTCTCCGCTCTGCATGTGATAAACTGCTTGTTCCTCCTCACTGAGAGCAAAACACTCGACTAGATCTCCACTCTCTGCTGTCCTGCTCCTAAATGGTGGAAGGAGGTCTCTGAAGACATCAGGACCACAGAGAGCCTTCACATCTTCAGACTAAAGACACACCTCTTCACACTCTACCTCCACTAACACACTAACTAACTGTAGCACTTACACTGGACTTATAATGGTTCTTATCTACAGCAAGTTGTACATCGGCTTATTTGATGAAATCACACTTTCTTGTTTCTTGTTCTCCTGAGTTTGTGTCCTTATGGTTTAATGCACTTATTGTAAGTCGCTTTGGATAAAAGCGTCAGATAAATGACATGTGATGTGATGACATGGAGCAGCCAGGGCTCAAACCATCAACCTTGTGCTTCCCAGCGCTCCCTCTCTACCCCTACGCCACGTCGACCCCACTGGACCCCATTAAATTAGATTCTTTGGGCTTGTTTTCATCTACATACTCTACAGTTGAGATCATTATTCTCATTGGATGATGACGTATCCATGAAGCACATTTAAAGAAATATAATCTGATTAGTGATGAGGCACTTACACTCGCGCATTTAACTTGTCTGCGATACTTTGTCGGGCTTGTGATGATTCAATTTATTTCATTTTATAGCACAAAATCGCAAATTTGCCTCAGAGGGCTTTACAGTCTGTACACAGAGACTTCCTCTGTCCAGAAACGCTCCCATCGGCACCGAGAAACTCCCCAAACCATGAAACCTTTAGAGAGACCCGCAGTACTACTAACATCAGTGTACAGCTAGTACATGTAGCTTCTTTGTGTGCTACGCAGTACTACTAACATCAGTGTACAGCTAGTACATGTAGCTTCTTTGTGTGCTACGCAGTACTACTAACATCCGTGTACAGCTAGTACATGTAGCTTCTTTGTGTGCTACGCAGTACTACTAACATCAGTGTACAGGTAGTACATGTAGCTTCTTTGTGTGCTACGCAGTACTACTAACATCAGTGTACAGCTAGTACATGTAGCTTCTTTGTGTGCTACCCAGTACTACTAACATCATTGTACAGCTAGTACATGTAGCTTCTTTGTGTGCTACGCAGTACTACTAACATCAGTGTACAGCTAGTACATGTAGCTTCTTTGTGTGCTACGCAGTACTACTAACATCAGTGTACAGCTAGTACATGTAGCTTCTTTGTGTGCTACGCAGTACTACTAACATCAGTGTACAGCTAGTACATGTAGCTTCTTTGTGTGCTACGCAGTACTACTAACATCAGTGTACAGCTAGTACATGTAGCTTCTTTGTGTGCTACGCAGTACTACTAACATCAGTGTACAGCTAGTACATGTAGCTTCTTTGTGTGCTACGCAGTACTACTAACATCAGTGTACAGCTAGTACATGTAGCTTCTTTGTGTGCCACGCAGTACTACTAACATCAGTGTACAGCTAGTACATGTAGCTTCTTTGTGTGCCACGCAGTACTACTAACATCAGTGTACAGCTAGTACATGTAGCTTGGTGTTAAAGTGATACACAGTATGACTACTACCTTCCTTGTCTCCTCCCCTCCTTGTCTCCTCTCCTCCTACAGCCCGGTGTCTTCCCCGTTGCCATGGTGCCTTGTTGTGCCGCCCGTCAAACCGGTGTGTGTGTCCACGCGGTTTCCATGGTTACCGCAGTGAGTCGCTCCCGCTGACAGGCGGCTCTCCAGACCCGGCCTCCCCAAATACCGGGAGCCTCGGCGCTCCCTCCGGTCCCGTCGCCACAACAACAACCGCCAGACCCGGACCGGGAGCTTCAGACCCGATTCCACTGGAGACCTTAAATGTTCAAGAGGATGCCGAGATCCTAAATGCTGGAGTAGACAAAGGAGACTCATCCCCAACATTTCCTCAGGAGGGACGGAGAGCCGAGAGGACGGAGACGCAGGACTCCAACAACCTCCAGGAGAAGGAGGAGGGGATCAGAGCCGGGCCTACCGGCCGCAAAACAGATCCTTCCTCGTCTCAGACCGTGTCTCCACACCTAAGACAGATGTCTCCTCCAGAAGACCAAGGAGTCCTCCGACAGGAGACATCTACGTCCTCTGGAATCCCAAATCCGGAGTCCCGCTCTGGGACCGGGGCACAGAGGAGCGAGGAAGTTGCTGGGACAGCAGGGGGGAAGAAGAAGAAGGAGACCAGAGGAGCAAAGACGCAGTCGCTGAGGTAACGTGGCTCCTCCTCCCTTCACTGAGTACTTGAAGTACTTGTACTACACTATAGAATGTGAAATGTACCCGATATACTAGTATGTTGGGTACATTTCACAGTTATCTGAGCGGTATCATATGATGACATTAAAATAACTTTAACATTAAAACAACACAATTAAATCAAAATGTAATTGTGTGTAGTTGTATGTTTTGACATATACAGTACTTGCTTACTTGACGTCTTTAGGTCTTTTCCCCAAAATTAAACATCTAACACGGAAATATGAATCCAGAAACATTGGATATTCTAACAATAAAGTTCACTAATCAATCAGTAAATGCTTTGACTGCATGTACTTTTACTTCAGTCACGTGTACAATGAAGGACTTTTACTCGTAGTATTTTCCCACTAGTACTTTCAGACCCTGATGATGTCACTTTGAGAGCTCGGTGGAACGAGAAGAGCTTTGTGTCTGCAGAGTGTAAAACGTCTCTGTGAACAGGGGGTCATCAGCGTTGTCTTTGGAGGGGGCATCGTCAGGTGTCTCCACCAATGAGAGCATTTGGAGGCGGGGCTAAGACTGCTCTTCAGGTTCACCTGAACAGCGGAGAAAAGGAGAAAGGTTGCAAACTCGTACGTGCACATCAATTAAAATCTCTTCCAGACGGAGTTGATGCAAAGTTAATAATAATAACTATATGTGTTAGTAACCATAATTATTAACTATACTATATGTATAGCTGCTTCTTATGAAGATGAATAAGCATTATGAACATCAATGTACCAACATACATTTATAACAAATACCAAACCTACTCAGCAGAGTTTCTGCTGCTCCCTGATAAAATAAAACATACTGATGAATGTTACCTGTTAGTCAGAAGGTTCCTGTTAGAATGTAACTTGTTTTTGTTTTCTTGTCTCTATGACTTACTACTGGATAGACTAATCAACTGGGTGGGACTTAACTGGTTTGAATCCTACTTGAATAATCGGAAACACTTTGTGTCTGTAGCTACTTACACATCAGAGCTAAAGAAAATGACATGTGGTGTCCCCCAAGGTTCAATACTGAGGCCCCTGCTGTTCAACATCTGCATGCTTCCATTGGCTCAGATTATGGAAAACAACAAAGTGTGTTATCACAGTTATGCAGATGACACACAAATCTATACAACTATATTACCAGGGGACTACAATGCAATGCGGGGGCTGTGTAAATGCATTGAACAAATAACTGGATAAGTCAAAACTTTCTTCAATTAAATAAAGATAAAACAGAAGTAATTGTTGATGATGCAGTATGGTCCTGTGGTCATGTGACTCACTGATAACACCAGCAGCTCTTCATCAGTGTGAAGTGTTGGAACTTTGACTTTTGAACTCACAGTCTGAGGGAGGCCCAGGCCGTGATGCTGAGGAAGACTCTGTCCCCGAGAAGAAGAGGAGACAGGATGGCCGCCCTGCTGATGAAGCACATCGAGAAGGAGAGGAAGAAGGTTCTGACCGTGTCCTCATCTCCTGACTCCTCTTCCTCCTCCACCTCCTCGTCATCTACAGGAGACACTCAGAAGGGCCCGATACAGCCTCTATGTAGCTGCTGCTGGGGGTGAGTTATAACACACACACACACGTTTAAACACACAGTTATGATGTTAATGTGTGTGTGTTAGTGTTTGTTATTGTGTGTAGGTGTGTGTGTGCGTTATGACATGAAGGCTGTATCGGCCCTTCTGAGTGTAGAAAGTCTTGCGCTGGTTCCTCCTGTGTTAGTTATTGTGTGTGTGTGCGCGTGTAGTGTTTGTTATTGTGTGCGACTGGTTGTTGGGTCTGATAAGTCTGAAAAGTCTGCGTGTGATTCAATGGAGCTGGAATGTCAGTGTGCGCTGCAGATAAGTCCAATGAACCCGTAAACAGTTCCTGCTATTGTCCAACTGTGGAAAGAACCACTACCGTAGTACCACGCCAATGGTACCACGCCAATGGTACCACGCCAATGGTACCACGCCAATGGTACCACGCCAATGGTCCACGGGCTGGAAATCAGTTATGAGGGGACGTTAGGACGGGTGATCCAAGGTTCCCTGATCACACATCTTCAGAGACAGAGTCCTCAGTCAGTTATATCAGTTACACCTTTATAGGAGACACACGAGGGTCCAATGAGTCACGGTGGTAGCAGGTGTGTAGGTGTGTGTAGATGTGTAGTAGGTGTGTAGATGTGTAGATGTGTAGTAGGTATATAGTTGGTGTGTAGTAGGTGTGTAGTAGTTGGTGTGTAGTTGGTGTGTAGTGGATGTGTAGTAGTTGGTGTGTAGTAGGTGTGTAGTTGGTGTGTAGTAGTTGTGTAGTTGGTGTGTAGTAGGTGTGTAGTTGGTGTGTAGTAGGTGTGTAGTTGGTGTGCTAGATAGGTGTGTAGTAGTTGGTGTGTAGTTTCACTAGTTTCTTCCAGCTCTACAGTCCAGAGCTTCTTTTTGCTTCAGGATATTTTGTGAATTTGGGCCCCTTGAAACCCAAACCAGGGTTGCATCATCAGTCTGACATCCTCCACTGTTCAGTTGTGAAACAGCAGCAGAAGAAGAAGCTCTGCTCAGACCCAGAGACAGTGTAATCAAATACGAGCATAGTGGAAAACAAGCAGTGAAGGAGAGAGAGAGCTTCATAGTACTACGCTCGCTCTCTGTGTGGATCGATGGACCAGATTCCTGCTCAACATTTAGTTTGGAGTCGATCCCAGTTCTGCTCACTTTTTAAGAGACACACTGCTTTCAATTACCTCTCCACCTCCCTCCTTCTCCCCCTCACACACACACACACACACACACACACTAAACAGTGCTAAAGGAAAAACAAGAGTGCGGAGCGCGAGAGGGGAAGTGTCTGGTCTTTTCCTTCCTTCCCCCCTTCTCTCCCAGAGAGAGAGAGAGAGAGAGAAAGAGGAGGGAGAAAGAGGAGAGAGAGAGAGAGGAGGGAGAGGGAGGGAGGGAGGGAGAGAGAGAGAGAGAGGGAGAGGGAGGGAGGGAGAGAGAGAGAGAGAGAGAGAGGAGGGAGGGGGAGGGAGGGAGAGAGAGAGAGGAGGGAGGGGGAGGGAGGGAGAGAGAGAGAGGAGGGAGAGGAGGAGAGATAGGGAGAGAGAGAGAAAGAGGAGGGAGAGAGAGAGAGGAGGGAGGGGGAGGGAGGGAGAGAGAGAGAGGAGGGAGAGGAGGAGAGATAGGGAGAGAGAGAGAAAGAGGAGGGAGAGAGAGAGAGGAGGGAGGGGGAGGGAGGGAGAGAGAGAGAGGAGGGAGAGGGAGAGAGAGGAGGGAGAGAGAGAGAGGAGGGAGAGGTTTGGGACGATGCAACTCGCTCAGAAACTCTGACCTCATTGCTCAAAATGCTGCAGCCTGGACTCCGCTGCTTTCTGTCCTCCGTCCTCATGGTCTCCGTCTCTCCGCTGCCAGCTGACGGACAGACGTTGTCGGGAGGCCGAGGCGTGGAGAGGCTTCAGGTGACGTTCACGCCCACCGTCTGCCAGGTGCGCTGCAGCCAGGACCAATGTGTCAACTACTGCGAGCAAGGCAACGTGACCACTCTGTACAGCAGCACCGAGGGGGGAGGAGGGGGGAGGAGGAGGAGGAAGGAGAGACAGCTCCCACGGACCTGGCTTCAGAGTGTGTAAGTGAACTTCATCCAGGGTTTCATGTGTGTTTTGTGACTCCTCTGCTATTGTGATAACGTTGTATTGTTATCCAAGTTTTGTTGTAATGTGATAACTTGGGTATTGTAATAAAGTAATGTTTTAGGTGTTGTGATAATGTTAAATTGGGATTTAGGTATTGTGATGCAATATCATGACTTAGGTATGGTGATGATGTCATATCATAAGTATTGTTGTATCCTGACTTACGTGTGGGCAAAATGCCATATTGTTAGTTACGTATGCTGATGACAGTGTCCGATGGGTTGATCAGGGCAAAAATGTAAAAAAAAAAAAAAAAATGCAATGTAAGTCACTTTGGATGAAGCTACATGACATGTAATGTGATGTGATGTCGTATGGTGATGATGTTGTATGTGTTGGGAGCTGCGGCCACAAGAACCTGAACTCCAAAGCAGACTCAGGGCGAGGTAGTCCAAAACAATGTCTTCACTCCAGGGGTTCGGCACACGGGTAGTCAGACAGAGCAGGTGGATTCATCCAAATCAGCAGGCTCAGACTCACAGGTAGACTTCATTACATCACACCCTCTCTACCCCGGGTGGAAGGTGGAAACAATAAGGGGCGGGGCCTGCAATCCCGGAGGGCGGCGGCACACAGGAAGGGAGGAGTCTGAAACGAGCGGCAGGGCGAATGACAGAAAACACGACAGAAAACAAACAGTGGCCCAACACCCAAGTCTGGGTGTTGCAGTAGGGTCATAGTGTCATATGGTGATTATTAAAGGAGGCCGGTCCTGTTACCTGGGCGACTGCGGTGCTGGTTTCCTCCGGATTGCTCTGCACAGCCTCAATCACCTCTGAGAGCTGTGCCGTCTTAGTTTTTGTTACATACACGGTTTTGTTCCCAGTGGAACCAACTCTCTCTCACCGCGACAGCGCTCAAAACACCTTCACTCTCCGGGTCCAACACCTGATGTCAATAATGACCTAATCGCTTACACAGGTGAACACACAGACACACAAGAACAGCGCCACCCAGTGTACGTATAGAGTAAAGACATTGGATGGGAACATTTGGCTCCTACACACCGGCCCCTAATTGTTAACGCAGGCAGACATAACAATTCAAACAAAATACAAACAGGAGCTAAGATGTTTCCCAGTAGAGACAAATAACTTTACACCCCCTTTAGCAAACACAGATTTGATCTTCCAAAATTGGATCCTGCTTATTAACAGGACTCTGTCGGCTCACTAAATCTCAGCAGCCAATGAAGGCAATTTCTGCTCCCACTAGATCATCCAGTGTCAGGATCAACATCGTTGCCTCAACTATGACTGGTGTCCCTCAAACAATTAGCCATAGATGCCTCCAACATCTTGACAGCAAGGACGGCCGCTGATTTACCATCCGGATGTATGTTATTGTTCTGTATCCTCCTTCGCTGGCCTCAGCAAAGTGATGTAGTTGGGCGTGTCTGGCCTCTCCAAAGTCCGCTGGTTTAATACACCTTTTCACTTTGAATGTAGCCAGAAGATCCAAATCCTCCAACTACCTTTTCCGTTGAGGTAAGATGTCTTGTGGTAAACCATCATCCCAGCCACAGCCTCTCCTACAGAGTTCTTGCTGACTGGTGCCGAGAACCCCAGAGGATGGTACACTGAGCTAGTAACTGACAGCAAACCGCGTCTGGTGAGAGCCTGTTGTTTTAACTCCATCTTGGACCGGAAAGAGTCGGTCTCCACACACCACTGCAGACCCAGCACTCTTTCCACTGGTAGTTCATCTTGGTCCAAATCCAATTCTTATAGGTCTTTGGCCTTTTGGGCCTCTGAAATGGCTTGCAAAACAACACAACTACTGCATGCACTGCAACTACCCATGAACGCGACAGGTTCCCGTCGGAAGTGAGTAAGAACTCCAAGGACAGCGCTGGGGAGGCAAGGATCCTGCAAGAGTTCATTATTCGAGGATGCTCCTTGAAATGTGAGGGATTCCTTCCTGTGATGGTGGACGCCGTGGTGGGGCATGTACCACACCTCCCTTTCCCACAATGCAATTGTCGCTCAGGTACTTGCTCTGCGTAGGCGTCACTGATAAGTTTGTACTTGTGTCTTGTTAAGAAACCTTTTTCTCAAACCCTGAATTTTTTATCGAGCCACAGCAACGTTATTGGCCAGATAGACCTCTTGATTCCTGAAGGGCAACGTCAGACATCCTGAGGTGCTGCTGAACGCTTGGTTTCTAGAAACTTGGTCTTCTCTGGACATCTCCTTGACATTGAGCAAAGTGAACGAGGACAACAGGAAGAGTCGCTGGTTCAACATGTTCCACCTCAGAGATGGAAAGGGGGAGTTGTGTTTAGAATACAATTAAACAACAGTGTCTAAAATACACGCTTTCTAAAGTGATTACTCGTTAATTTATAAGATTTCGTCTTTAGAAGAAAAACAAACTTTTCCCTAACCAAGCATTGAAGACGCCTTTATCTCCACCGATGCCAAACACCACGTGACTCAATTAGCGTAAAGCAAGAGGAAAAGGGGCGTACCAGGTGGCACCAACAATACCTGGCTCCTACATTCCGGCCCCTAATTATTACAGTAAATGTAGTAATAATTACAAAATTAATTTAGATATTCAAGCAACATACATATTTCAAATGTTTATTAATTAATCGAGTCTTCTTTCTTCTGCAGGCCAGAGGTTACCAGCACTTAGCCTAGCGTTGAGGTCGTGTCACTCAGTCATGTCGTTGAAGTCTAGAACTCAGGATTCAATGGACTCCTTGATAAGGCAGATCTTAGTTACACGTCTGCATATGCGACTGGTCGAGGTCTTGATCCCGACTTGTCGCACTAGTCCCTTCTGATCCCAAGAGGGTCGTAGAAAGAGCTCAGAGTTGAAAGGATTCCTCTGCGGGTCAATGGTCGCCCTGTTATAGCTGTATTGAATTTCAGCTAATGGAGTTTGTTTTGGCTGCCGCAAACTGCAGGAAACGTCTTCATTGTGAAACTTGTGGATTAAGACACCCTACTATGCTTCACATCTACCCTAAGGAGAGAGAAGCCTACTTTGAGAAGGACAGGAGCAGCATTAGTGGCCCAATGGACACTTCTTTGGTTGCAGTCCAAACTGGTGGTCTCACTGGGGCCGGAAAACAAGAATGTAAGCTAGCCATCGTTACCAGTAAAGGTTAAATCAGGGAAAGGTCAAAAGGCCGTGGAAACCTATGCCTTTTTAGACCCAGGGACATCAGCTTCCTTTTGCACTGTAGATTTAATGAATAAACTGAATCTCTCTGGGAGAAGAGCGACGATCCTTTTGCGCACCGTGGGCCAAGGAGAAATTGTGGGCAGTTGTATTGTGTCAGACTTGGAAGTGGCTGGATTAGACATTGGAATGTACTGTGAAATGCCAGATATCATAGGATGCCCGTAAACAGGAGTAACATCCAAAGACTGCAACATCTGGATAGATGGCCTCATTTGAAACACCTCTGCATGCCCGAGATACATGCAGACCTGCAGCTTTTGACAGCATTTCCTCCAGTCTGCACACAGAGATCCTGTTCACTGTAGCTCTTGAAGACTCACTGGTTTTATTCAGCTTACCATTAACGGCGCATCCCAACACTGTCCTGATGGCATACGGGCCGTTCCCACGGCTATGAATGACCTCCCACGGTTCCAATATTTTAGGATCGTCAGTGCCAATCAACAGGTCCACGTTTGCCTCCATCTTTGAGATGTGTACTTTTGACAAATACGGCCAATTAGTGAGCTCTTCCTGTGCCGTGATGTTATCAGCATCGTTTCCTTCTGTGCGAGCACATCGGGTAATGTATGAAACGGTTCGCTGTCCATGCCAGATATCTCCAAACAGCTTCCTGTCCCATAGTCTGCAACAATGTTGGTTCTTTTGCCTGTAATATGCAGATTCTGCATTAGGTGTTTTTTTCCTTCGGATTGTTTGATGTCGTCTTCCCGCCAACAAACGGAACCCTGCAGTGTCTCTGGAGTCAACATGAGACATGGAAGTTTATGTTCACAACTAACAGCTGCACGGTTTAACCCTCCCTCCTGAGTCTGAGCGCTTGTGTCCTCTTCTCTTCAGCTCCACCAGCTGTTTATATGTTTATAGCCATGAAGTGATGAAGTGCAGACATTCGCATTGTTCTTTCGCATTGATTTTCCTCAATCAGTCCTTCATTCATATATTCAGTAAGACTGCCTGTAGCGTGAACTGAAAATGGCGAGTTGCACTTTTCCGTGTGAATATGCATTCACAGGAGGGTGAGGGGGAGAGTGGGAGTTTCCATAAAGAGATGGGAGGGGATGCGTAAAGTGACAAATGATGTATGTACCTCCCGTGTTTAGCGGCGAAACCTCTTAATGATCCGAGCCAGACGGCCACATAGGGCAATTAGACCAGATAAAAGGAATCATGAATATTTTATTGCATTAATCTCGGCCAAATAAATCACACAGATTGACGCGTTCATTTTGACGACTCTAATATTTAATGTTTCCAGTGTGTTTATGGGCTCAGGTCACTCTGCTGCAAGTAAAGCTGCAAGTGACCTTCCTGCCGCACAGACTTCTGGGTATTAGCAGCTCATTAGCTTCGACGGCAGCTGAACTCTGGGTAACAACACAGCCGCATCCTCTCCCAGTGGTCTCTTAGCAACCGAGGGGTTTGGGGGCTACGGCCACATCTTTTCCCAGAACGCATCCCTGTAGGAGCTGAATGAGCAAAAGGGAACCTCCAGGCCAACAGAGAACATGATGGATGTGTGTTAGTGTTGGCCTCTGTGTGTGTGTGTGTGTGTGTGTGTGTGATGGGGCCTGTTACTTACTGGTATGAATGTGAATTGACTGTGTTCAAGTCCTTTGAACTTCAGTCACATTTTTCTCTCTGTGACCATTTTTCACAGATGATGAATAAAAATGAAACCGTTTTATTTGTTTGCACATGTGGAGCGTTTAAGGGCCCTCTGGAAGTTCAGCTCCTCCTCCGGCTCACTTGGTCTTTACTGATCCGTGTGGATGTGTGAAGGTAAATGTCATCAGATGGAGAAGTGCTTTGTCACGCATGCTGGATGAGACCAGTTCCATTGGGTTCTTATCCTCAGGTGTCAAAGGGCCTTTAGCTCCTCCCCACAAAGCGGCTATTTCCCATTGCTATGGCGATCCTAACGAAAAGATGGCTGCCTGATTGGGTCTTTGATATGTCTCCTGCAGTTCTCTGTCCTCTGCTCTGTAAGAACGGAGGCGTCTGTCTGCAGAAGGACCGATGTCTCTGCCCACCAGGCTTCAGCGGGAAGTTCTGCCAGGTCCCCATCGCGTCCTCCGCCTCCTCCTCCTCCTCCTCAACCTCCTCCTCCACCAACGAGATTGTCAAGCCGGCGCTGGTCTCCGCCATGGAGGCCAATCAGGAGCTGACACAGTCAGAGTTCCTGCTGCCACTGAGACCCAGCCAGGAGACGGGCGTCTCCGGAGGTGAGTCTGACCTTTGACCTCAGCAGCTGATACTGAAGTTTCCTATGTGGGTTTAATCACTGAGTATGATGGATGTGTCTTTAAAGGCTCTGGTATCCGAAACAACTGGCAGCAGTCTGTTATCCATAGCATCAGTCTGTTATCCATAGCATCAGTCTGTTATCCATAGCAACAGTCGGTTATCCATAGCATCAGTCTGTTATCCATAGCACAGTCTGTCATCCATAGCAACAGTCTGTATCCATAGCAACAGTCTGTCATCCATAGCAACAGTCTGTTATCCATAGCAACAGTCTGTCATCCATAGCAACAGTCTGTTATCCATAGCAAACAGTCTGT